CGCACGCACACGCACGCACATATACACGTACACACACATGTACACATTCACACACATGTACACAGAGGTCCACACAAATACATACATACAGACAAGCATACATACATACAGACCTGCATACATGCATACATACATACACGCACAAGTGTATGTATGTATGCATGTATGCAGGTCTGTATGTATGTATGCTTGTCTGTATGTATGTATATATGTATGTATGTATGCATGTATGCAGGTCTGTATGTATGTATGCATGTATGCAGGTCTGTATGTATGTATGTATGTCTGTATGTATGTATTTGTGTTGACATCTGTGTACATGTGTGCATGTGTACATGTGTATGTGTACATGAGTATGTGTGTGTGTGTATATGTATGTATGTGTGTGGACATCTGTGTACATGTGTGTGTATGTGTACATGTGTGTGTACGTGTATATGTGCGTGCGTGTGCGTGCGTGTGCGTGTGTATGTACATGTACGTGTAAATGTAGATGTAGATGTGTGTGGGGAGGGTGTGTGTGCATGTGCACGTGTACAAAAACTTGCCTATAATAAAATTATATTCAGTTATGTATTTCTTTTTTATGATGAATCAAGTATACATCATACAATCCCATCAATGTCAAGACTTGAATTCACTGTTATGTCACTTATTCAGCTTCTACTATTCTGCTTTTCCATTTGACTTGACTGCAATGGAAATCAAATATCAAGTATTCAACTTACCTGTGTTTGAACATCATCTCCAGTTACAATATTTCCTACTGCTCTCAAGGCCGCTGCAACAACACTGTGCTGATTAAACCTAAAAAGTAGAAGTTTTAAACATTATAACTTGTTAACATTAAAAGGAATTCAGTGATGCACATTAACACATTAATGGCGGTATATTTTGAAGCCGAAAGTAAAAGATTCTGGGCGGCTACAAAATCAACGTGCGGGGCTGGCCCGCGACTCTGCACGCACGCCGGCCGTGGCCCACTGCTGCATCGGAGCACGAGCCCTAATACAACGTCACACTGGCGAGACGCCCCGCAATGTTTGTTTTTTCAGGTGTCTCATATGTGGGACACGCGTTGTTAGTGGGTTAACAAAACCTGTGTGTTTTCACTCCTTCACTATTGTTTATAAATTTTTTTAAAATCTAAGGCACTTTTTTCACCCGATCTGGCTTCCTATGCAATCTTAAATTTATTTCCATAATCTGTATCCTTGGTAATTATACAAATGCATGAAATCATATCTAATTTCTAGAATACTAAACAACCAAACCATATAATCTCCTGCATAAATTTACATTCTAAATATCTGCATTAATATACATACAAGGTACTTACATTAAGAGTTCCACAAGTCTGCGGCATACACCAGCATCGATAACTGCCTGAATCTTTTCATTGGGCCCATCACTAAGGTAACTAAGAGCCCAACAGGCATCCGCTAATACATCAGCATCACTATGGAAGAGTAGACGGGACAGAACAGGGAGACATGGGGATACACGCGCAAAGTCTGGTGGTGGGTTCTTTCCTCGGCACAGGTTACTGAGTGCCCAAACTGCATTCCTTGTCATTGATAGTCGAGTGGATTTACTAAGGAGCCTGAAATGATAAAAGATATATGCATATATTAATAAACATGAAAGAAGGAAAGGAAAACACATGGTTCACATGGACCATATGAACTGTGCAATGAAAGAAAAAACATTTGGAATTTCATTTCTCATGATAATTCAAATCCTTGTCCAGTTCAGAACACTGCATATTAGTAATAGCCTCCCTATATATGCTATGTATATCCTTACATAGATGTAATCATAATAGATGGAACTTATGGTAAAATACCATTCTGACTTGCCAATTGTCTATAAAGGAAACTACAGTGGTGTTTCTCATATTTTTCAATACTTACTGGAAAAATTAGTACTTGTGTGATCTATTGTTAGTTTATATCAGAGTGTATTGCATATTCATTAACACAGTGCCACTAGGGATGGCATGTACATAAATGTTATGCCCACCATGAGTTTAGCTTAATGTCTTTTCAAATATATGGCTCCACAAGTACTAAGTCATCAATGAGCCAAATACTATTACTCTCTATCTCACCTGTTTTCCCTTTTTCTTTATTTTTGATAATATTTTCTTGTATCTTATATTTCTATTAAAAATATCAATAACATTCTAATAATCATACGGTCTATAATAACCATTACAGCATCGACATTGATAGCATTAAGCCCTTTAATCCAGATGCATCATGGCAATCACATTGACCAAAATGCAGGCATTAGGTTAAACGAGTGGCCACTCTGCTGGGTGTACGGCAAGTGAGCCGGTCACACACAAACACGTATGTGGTGACAACACACTATGACCAACTGCAGAAAATTAAAATTGATGAGACCTTATGGAAATTAAGGTAACTTACATATTTTACATACTGTGATTTGTCTTTTGATATATGCTATACAGTTGTGACCTCTTTCTAAACTGAATTGATTACTAACTTTTTTCTCTTACATTACAGAGGCTGACCCAGGTTTGTACAATACAACCCAAACAAACATGTAAGGTTTGGCCTCAAAGTCTACAAGCTCTGCATTTCTGTCGGGGCCTGTGCTGGCTATACCTGCTCTTTTCTACTCTAAACTGGGAAGGATAGGTGTTAGATGCCTGCCTCTCAAAAGATGTAATGATCCTTATGGAGGCAGTATGTCTCCTTGGAAAAAAAAAATACAAAGTGAACCTTAACAAATGGTACCGTTCGCCCACACTTTTCCATACTCTCATGGCCAATAAAACAAATGCTGTTGGAACAGTAAAAGCCAACAGAAAGTTCAAGTCATCGGACTTCCCAAGCTGGCTCAAGCGGTATGAAGTGCACAGGAGCACTCCTACCAGCCTACTGTGCATAAAATGGAAAGACAAATAAATTCATGCTGTCAACCATCCATACCAGTGACATGGTGGAAACCGAGAAGGTGACCCCGCATGGTGACAGAGAAGAGAAACCAGTGGAAGACATGGACTAAAACATGAAGGGGGTTGACGTGGGGGATCAGCTCTCCCAGCCATACCCCACTGCAAGGGAGAAGATCAAATGGTATAAAAAGGTCTTACTTTTACCTTATTGAAATGGCGACAGCGAACGCCTTTCTTTTGCAGAAGTACGTGAGCGGTCTATTGTATTACAGCCGCAAAAGGCTCCCGAGGAAATCATTCACCAGGTAGCTCATTACAGCATCAGTCACTCCAAACAAAGAAGTCACACAGAGTTACAGCAGCTAGTACATCATCATTTCCCAATGCAATTTAAAAAGTACTGCCACATGTGCTATAAAAGGGGGAGCAGGAAGATGGTGCAGAATGCATGTAAGAACTGCGATGTTGCTTTCTGCATCTATGAATGTTTTGAAGACAACCATACCTGGAAGAGGTACTGAAGTACTTCTTTGTACAATATTTAGATGAGAATATGTAATTTACATTATTTTGCACAAATAATTATATGTATTTAGCATTTCTTACATTTAAACTATAAAATTCCCCCTAAATTTCCATTTGAAGAAATAAAGAAAATTATGGAGTCTTGTTTTTGATCGTCCCGTACAATACAGCTTCTTCTATTTATGGTCAAAACCACACTATCATTGGCTCATATGGAGCATTCACTATTATTTCAATTGACTATTAAATTGGTAAGGTCAAAAAGTTAGGAACAGTGAGTTTGAAAATTTAAAAACACATAAAATTAATTATACATAAAAGTTGGTGTTAAAGCACTAATGTTTATCAAAGTTCAGCGAGCAGCAGGGAAAAGAGTAACTGAGACAAGCGCAACAATATAATTACCCTGTAGTGTACACCTAGCCCATATATATACCTTGTTTCTCGGACTGAGCTGCTGCTGAAAATAAAACAATTAAAGGGAACGTCCAGTCTCAACCCACATGTTCATGAATAACTATACATTAAAGCATAAAGAATCAATATATGATAAATTTTTAAAGGCAACAGTAATTCAACCAAATATTTTGCGTTTTGTATTCCCACCTCCTGTCGTCTGCTAAACTGCTGACATCATGCCACCAAGCCTGCATGATGTCACACGTGTGTTATATATATATTTAAATATATATATACATATATATAT